TGAACGGAATCGGTCCACAGGATTCTAAAATATGACGGACAGACTGACGCACGGACACACGGACGGACGGACAGACTCAGGAACTCACGGACGGTCGGGGACATGTATCCTAACATGTATGATCTATGTACTAAATTTGAATGAAAACTGACAAAGCATGTTCAAAATATTACATTTTCAAAAAACAAGATGGCTGCCAGTCGGCCATCTTTGATCCAATTGTGAAATAAATCATCATGGACATGTATCCTATCATGGACATGTATCCTAACATGTATAATCTATGTACCAAGTTTGAATGAAAACTGACAAAGCATGTCCAAAATACAACATTTTCAAAAAACAAGATGGCTGCCAGTCGGCCATTTTGAATCAAATCGCTAAACCACTGCATGTGCATATATCCCACATAAAGTACTAGGCACATGCAAAGAATGAACGGAATCGGTCCAAGGGATTCTGAGATACGACTCCGGACGAACACACGGACGGACGGAGACCGAATTATAAGTCCCCGTTTTCGGACTTCGTTCGAACGGGGACTAAAAACTGTATCAGTGTTTGACATGAGTTGGCCATCTTTGATCTGATTGTAAAACAAATTGTCAATGACATGTATCGTAACTTCATCCAACACAAACATTCCAGTAGAATGTGACATGTTACATGTAGGTCACAAGCACAAAATACAATTATGCAGATGGAACAAGAATACAACACACAGGAAGGTTTCTCAGATGTGGTGCTTTGAAGGATGGCCGGATTTAGATTTTGTCATCTTGGCCAAACCGAATATATAGACAGAAGCAATGGCTACAGTGTAAAAATTAAACCAGCTCAGCTAAGATGCACTATTAGAAGTCAAGTACTAGAAAAGTATACTTATACTGCAAACCACTAAGAAACAACATATGCCCCACATTTCTAGGCAACCAGGAGCACATTCAATGTGCCATTATTATCATTACTGCTACTACTGCCATACTATAGAGGAATAAATTAACAAACAAACAAACAGACAGATGGTGTAAACCTGTAGGCCATATCATTTGGTTTGCACGGGGTAACAAATTACTACTATAGATGTGCATATTTTCTGTTTTTGTTTAGTTTTTAATTTCAATAAAATATTTGAATACATGTTTGAAAATGTTACATATTCATAAAATTAATAATTCCAAAAAAAACTGGATGCAGCAAGTGTAATTGTGATTTTCAAGGCTGGAAATTTAATCCAATACTGCATGCATAAAAATCTGGGTTGAAAGGTGAACATTGTGTCCCAGGCCAGCTAAATTCATAGCTATTTAAATCTATTAGTAGACTTGTATTAATTCTAATTTGAGAATTATCTCTGAGGTATGTCAGGTCTGGTTGTTTGTGTATTATTTCCAGTTATTTCTAGAATTAATTTACATTCAAGAAAATGAGACAAAAATTGTAGGTATCGATAAAACATAATATTTTTTAATTTTAATTGTGTACTTGTAAATATATATATGTATATGGAAAACAAATACATGTGTATATATGTATATATATGCTGGAGGTATACTTAAATTATGAAATGTCGGATTCACATCTATCAAATTTTCAATAATGTATAATTCATGATATTGTCAGATTGTCCTCAGTCATGCATGACCCCTAAAGGCCACACATCCTGGTACATTGTCATTGACTCTGCAGGTCGGCGTCTTCTACACCGATCTGACACATATTGCACAAATAGTGCTGGTAGTTTGTGCGAAACTTCGAACAGTTCAAAGTCAGTCAGTCATATTTTATGGATAAAATAAATAATTTCAGTGATTTTTTTTACTAAATAATAATAAATGAAACTTAGAAATATTGTAGAAATAAACTTGCCCCAAAATAAGGTAATTCTGTAATTGATTTATGCTGCTAGTTCCTGGTTCAGAAGGCTTTCTACACGTGATTTCATTGTGTCCAAGAACATTCTATTTAAAGCTAGTTGAAATCTTAAATTACGTGGGAAATTTCAAACTTCAAAGAAAAAATTTATTATCTTTATTATGTGTTACTTTATACTGTTCCAAAGATTGAATTATGTATTAAATTATATTAAAAGTGTTATGCAATAAATCCTACTTGATCATTTCCAGTTTTAGATGCATATGCAGGTACATGTAATTGACAAGACATTTTATTTGTCTGTTTGGGTGAATGTTACTTTTATAGTGGAAGTCATAATTCATTAACTCTTGTCAAATTTCAGTGCATGTCTATGACTTTAAAAGCTATGCGCATATATGACATTGTATAGTAAGTTACAAACTGATTCTTTAGGGAATTGAATTTTCAAACTCAGTTTTCCACTTTAACCCAATAAGCGGTTTTATATTGACCTTGCATATGAACCTAAACCAATGTGTGGACAGTGGTCATTCATGTGTAAAACATTGAACAGAAAAGACTAAACTTTAATACTGTAGAATACTTTATTTTCGCTTGGAATTTATTTTTGCTGAAGGGATGATTCCGTGAAAATAAAATCCAGCGAATATACTTTTTTTCCTATATTTCACATTAAACTCATCAAAAATCAGTGAAAATAAATTCCAAGCAAAACGCCCAAAAAACCTTTTCAGTGAAAATCAATTCCAGCGAAAATAAAGTATTCCACAGTAATTGTCGTTCATTCAAATCTTCCAAATTTCTGCTGGCTTATTCAACTACTTGATCCCAAGCCAGGTGACTACTAAAACACTATACTGTGACACAGTAGTACCGGTATATGCCAAAACAAATCTATAGCACCATGCTTTAAACATTTAAAAAAAAAGAAATGTTAAAATGGAGTTTCATACATTTTCTGGAATTATTACTTGCATTAAAAATACATGTATCTTAATATAGTTTTCCAGACATACTGATGACTAGCAGCAATACTGGTACTGTTTATTTCCATTCAAAGAACCCTACTTCTTGTAAATCGTGTTTGAGTTGCAAGATTTGACCTTTGCTCATATTATTCATGGGAGTCCTTGCAGGCCCGACATCCACACCACAGAGAACCATTAAAGCTTTGGTAATGCTGCAAAAGTCAACACCTAGGAACAGAACGAAAACAAAATTAAACTAAAGACTAAATATGTAGTCATTCACAATGAGTGAATACTATAGTTACTCCATTAAAAGTGCATTCTTTTACTTTTTTTTTATTTTGATTCCTATAAAATACTCTTTAAGATATAGGGCTACTCCAGTATTTCCTCTATTTTCACATAAGGTATATTTCATACAACAAGGATGAAATAATAAATTAAAGGCTAATCTTAAAATTAGTTACATGTACTGGTAGATACAAAGAAGAAACGGAACATTTTTGAATATAATAAATTTACATGTATCTCAAATACATTTTCCAGGATCAAGAAAAGTGTCAACTATTTCAGCAAGATGCAAAATACCCAGTAACCCATCATAGCAAGATGCAAAATACCCAGTAACCCATCATATCAAGATGCAAAATACCCAGTAACCCATCATATCAAAATGCAAAATACCCAGTAACCCATCATATCAAGATGCAAAATACTGTAAAATGACTAATTTTCACGTGGTTTAAATTTCGCTGATTTAACATTTCAGGTATATTCAGTGGGTTTTAAATTCACGGTTTTGTCATTTAGATAATGTATTCTATGCTAAATTTTACATATTCACTGGGTTTTAATTTAGCGCATTTTTCATTCAGCGAAATAAGCCAAATTAAAACCCAGTGAACAATTGATCCTTTTACAG